AAGCAGCAGAGGGGGCCCCCAAGGGTTCACCTGAGGGGGGCCCCCTGGGGGGCCCCCCAGGGGGGCCCCCAGGGGGGGCCCCCGGGGGGGCCCCTGATGGGGGGGGGGCCCCAGCAACTCGACCACCGAATTTACTTACATTGGGGGCCCCCCATGATGCAGATGTTGCTGCGGTGTATGTACACCCGAAACGGTCTCGGTTGCTGCAGCTGCAGCCTGGTGTTCCTATAGTATTAGAGGGGAGAAGAAGAAGAAGAAGTGTGGGTGTATTGATAGAAGATGAAGAAATAAAACAAGAAGAGGTGCGTGTACACCCCAGGGTGTATAGGCAGCTCAAACTAAGTGAAGGAGATATACTTATGATTAACCCCATACAAACCCTACCCCTTGCTTCTCGGGTGTATATACAGCTCTTCTCTGATTCTTTTCCTTTCTTTTCTTCTTCTTTATCTAGAGGAGGGGGAGGGGGTATAGGGGGGGGTGGGGGGGGCCCCCTGAACCCTATGGGGGCCCCCGGGGGCCCCCATGCATGGGCCTCTGTTGCTGCTGCAATAGAAGAATTTTTAAGCTCTCGTCCGCGGCCTGTGAGAGTGGGAGATCAGTATAAGGTTCAGGTGTATATACAGGAGGGAAAAGCAGCAGCAGCAGCAGCAGCAGCAGCAGCAGGAGCAGCAGGAGCAGCAGCAGATGGTGGTGGTGGTGGTGTGAGGGGGGTGTCGTGGGGGGGGATGAAGGGGGCCCCCAGGGGCCCCATGGGCCCCATGGGGGGCCCCCAGGGGCCCCATGAGGGTTTAAGAATAGAAGAAATAGAAATAAAAATAATGAGGATAGAGGGAGAGAAGAACGATGATATAGAGTTTGGTTTAGTAGCAGAAGAAACAGAAAAAATTATAAGTGAAGAACCAATAGATAGAGGTGAGGATACACCTGAAATTTGCCTTGTTTATGATGATCTAGGGTTTATGAGGGTTTAGGGTTTAGGGTTTAGGGTTTTAAGTAATGTTACTAGGGTTTAGGGTTTAGACTTAATATACTAGGGTTTAGGGTTTAGTGTTTAGTGTTTGAAGTCAAGTTCCTAGGGTTTACGGTTTATTAAAGTTCCTGAACTAGGGTTTAGGGTTTAGGGTTTAGGGTTTAGGGTTTAGGGTTTAGGGTTTGTGTGTAGAGGCCTTCGACTCTGCGAGTGAGATAACCTACGATGATGTTGGGGGTTTAAAGAAAGAAGTGCAGCTGCTGAGAGAATATGTTGAGTTGCCGCTGCGGTTCCCTGATGTTTTTAAAAAAGTAAGTAGGGTTTAGGGTTTAGGGTTTAGGGTTTAGGGTTTAGGGTTTAGGGTTTAGGGTTTAGGGGTTGGGGGG